CGGATACGCATACAGGGTTAAAACCTCTATCTTTGGTAGGTCGACCGAACCAAGCACGCCGATCGACTGGATCGCGTTTCCTAGGTGAATCTGGATTCTTTTGACGTGTATTCCAAGTTCCATTAGGCTTGGTTATTTACGATTTTGTCATTCACGTTGTTAGACATATAAATAGGGATTGTTTAGGGTTTTAAACATCGGATTAAGAGAAGAGAGATTCTAATCAAGAGATTAGGGTTTAGAGAGAATAGAGAGATTGTTCTTTATTCTAGGGAGATTGTGAGAGAAAGATTTTGTAATATTCTATTCTTCATAATCTAGAGAAGATATTTTTCTTTGCTTATTGAATTGTCTTGTGTGTTTTGCTGTTTTCTTCTCAATCCCACATTTGATAATTCCGCGATCAAATGTGCTCTCTCAGCGACTCGTATCAGAATATTATCTCATATGACACCCAATATTATATACATATCCCTAATTTACAATCCGATATCGTGGATTTTATTTGTTCAATATTTATCCAATGTCTAATACTTTGTAGTAGTCCTTCGAAAGACTCTTCTGAAGTTTTCTAAGCAAAGTATATAATTTTAGGAAATAATTCAAAATCTTGAGACTTATTCAAAATATGATGCTTCAATTTTTCCACCTCCCCTTTACTATATAAATATAAGCTATATTGTAATGACCGTAAATTTCTAATACAGGTTTAAATAATTTTCTGGTATTTAAATATTAAATATTATTTTCTAAAAGAGTATTTGTATTTCCCCAATTTTTCTAGAATTTTCTACGATTTAAAAATACTGTATTGTATTATTTTAATAGTTTTGCTAATTATAAATTTAATTATTTCGGTAAAACTTTTAAATTAATAGTTAATTATTTATTATTGTTATTGTTATTAGTATTATTATTTTGATCATAAATTTTTAATAATTATTTGATTTAATTTTTTGGTATTTTTAAATTATATTTTAAAGGGGTATTTTTTCCCTGTGTTTTTCCTACGGTATTTCACCTTGTTTCTCTCTCTTCCTCTTCATCTCTCTCACTCTCTCTCTCCCCTACCCCACTTTCCCTAAAACCCTCCCCCATGTTTCCCGCATACCCCCACATCGTGATTCCCCCACTCCTCAAAAGAACCCCAGATTCATCTCTCTTCCTCTCGTTTTCATCTCCCTCTCACTCTCACACGTCCTCTCTCAATCTCTCTCACTATCATTCTCACACTCTCTCTCCCTCATCAGTTCTCTCCCTCTCTTCCTCTACAAAATCCCAACTCCAGCTCCCCCTTCTTCCTCATATCTCTCTTCCCCGCTCTCCTCACCACCGAAGCCCACACCAGATCCGAACCCGCCTGAGCACGCCGTCGACGAACACCCAGCATCACCTCGTGCTCCTCCTCCGTTCATCCTGCCGCGCCAACGCCTCCACCCTCCTCCGAGCTCATCCCAGCCCCTCACCGTGCCGCTGACCTCCGACCACCGCCCACACCTCAACCGCCTCCCTCCAGCCACGGACCTCCCCACCTCCGAGCTCCTCCTCCACCACCGTCAACACCATCTCCACCCTCCTCCCCTCTAGCTCCGCCACCCCCTTCAACCCCACGTCGCCCCTCCGACCACCGCACACGACCACCGCCTCCAGTTCACCGTCGTTGACTCCAGCCCAACCCCGTCGTCTCAGCCTCGCCGCTGCTCCGACGAGCTCCACGACCACCCGCGTCCTACCCTCCGTTCTCCACCTCCCCCAACTTCGAACCCCCTCCTCCACGAACTCCGACCAAGCCTCCACCTCCGACAGCCACCCTCGCCGAGCCCAAGCCCCGTCTCCGCTCGTCGTCACCCCTCCCACCTCCGGCGAGCCCGCACAGCGGGAAGAAGCTCCGAACAGCGAGCTCGGATCAGTGAGCTTCACTGCAGAAAACTGCAGTTCGGAGCCAACTTCGCGCGCGTTTTCCGGCCAACTCCGACCTCCGTTTCCGTCGATTCCTTCGCCGGTGCGTAGCCCTTCGTGTTATCTATCACACGGTATATTTCTTTCACTTGGGCTCCTTATGTACACCTCGTTATACTCGTTCGAATATCACACGTCGCATTAACACTCAAATTGTAATTTTAGCCGTCGACTCCGCGAAACCCGTCGTAACGCTGTGCAATCACCCCGACGGTCCCTACTACAGTCCGCGATATACCCGAGGCAAGATCCCACTTGCTCAAAACTGAATTTTTGTATTTATTATGAATTATCTGTAATTTTAGATTTGTCAATAATTATCTGCGTGGGATTGTTTGATGAATGATTTTAGATAAATCATAATAATATGATAATTAGTATTTTTAGAATAATTATGACAAATTAAAAGAATTTATTTTGGCAGCGGAATTATTTTTGGACAATTATAGTAATTAAAAAGAATTTATGTGAGAACAAAATCATTTTTTAGGAAAATTATAATAATTTAAAAGGAATTATCTTGGAAAAAGAATCATTTTAGAATAATTATAATAATTTTTAGAAATTATTTTGTGGAAGAAATCATTTTAGAATGACATATTTTTAAAAAGAAATTATGTTTGGGAAAATAGACTATTTTGAATTAATAAGAATTTATCTTATAAAAAGATTATTTTTGAATTTATGAATTTATTATTTTTAAAAGATTATTTTTAGAATTAATATAGTGAGAAAATAACTTATTTTGAAAAAGGGATTATTTTTAAGTAAATAACTTTATTATTTCAAAAGATTATTTTAGAACAATTTTATGATTCAAATTCTTAGTCTTGATTATCTGATATGCTATGATACTATTGTACATGATTAGTTGCATTGATTGTTCCTTGTTGTGATTGAGAACCGTTAGGAGTTTATGACTATAGTGACCTGTGTGACATGAATAAGACCTAAAGACATGTGTTGTGTTGACTTAGAAAAACGAGAAGAGTTGGGATGGGGAAGTTAATGTTCATGTGATCGGATATAGCTGTTGATGTATCTTCCAGGCTCGCGCCAGTGAATTCGTGTAGTCACTGGGGTTGGTTTGATGGGCTAAAGTGAATTCGTGTAGTCACTTTAGTCAGTGAATTTGTGTAGTCACCCGAGTTCTGCTTGAGTTCGGACCAGGCCGAAATCGGATTGCGTGTAGTCCTCTGACCGATTCGTGTAGCGGTATTGGATGCACGTAGGGGATTTGTGAACAGCCAGTTATCCGATGATAGGAGCGTTGACTCTGTGTGAGATGTGGACCACTGAGTTTTAGGTTGGTTAGTATTCGACCCAGTCACTGTATTCACATAGTTGTATGTTACCATTAGATTTCAGTTGCATGTATCATTATCTTTTTGTTATTATTATTATTATCGTAGCATGGAACATTAGACCGTTTTATTTGTTCATGTGAGATCTTGCCGTGCGCCATGCACCTGACGTACACCTGTTTTCTCTGGTGTGCGTCAGACTTAGGAGACGAACAGGTTCAGTTCGATGATGCCGCCGAACCAGTGTATGCTCAGCCGGAATGTCCTTCTGATGGAGTGGAAGAACAAACTGAAGCCTAGACGCATTTTCTTTTCTGTAGTAGCTAATAGAGCACTCTTGCAGTATTTTCTTTAGTTTGGTGACAGATTTGGTTATTTTGTTAGTATTTCCTTTTATGGACTATGTATTTCTTATTTCCTAGTTGAACTGTTGTTGTAGTAAGGGTATGATGAGCCCATATTTATGTCTGGGATGATTCACTATGGATGATATGTTTATTTCTTATTCTGGATTGTCTTTCTATTCTTGCTATTGTGATCGGGGACCTGTGATTGAGATTTATGTATTTGACGCTTAGCGTATTGGATTGAGAAGAAAAGAAAAAAAATGATAGTATATATATATTTCTCAATCTAATACGTCGCGGGCTTGTTCACGTTCCGATTTCCCAGTATTTTGGGAAGCGGGGCGTGACAGGTTTTTGTTGGTGGCCCACGCAGGTCACGGTCCCGAGTTCTCACTAGTAAGAATGTATTGGACGATTCAAATACATATCATTTTCCATCCGTAAGACTACAATTAAGTTCTTATATTATTATCTTAATAAACTATGTTTTAGTCCCTATTTTCCAAATATATTGTTTGATTTTAACATTAATTTTTCCTTTTGATCCTCGTTTCATTCAGAATTATGGTGGGTACTCGTAGTAATGGTAACCCATCTAGTGGCAATGGTCAGATGCCTGAAGCAGATCCGCAGCTGCTTTTAGCGATGATATAGGGGCTGGTGACGAACCAACAGTTCTTAGCTGGGCATTTGCAGCAGGAGCCTCAGCACCAGCATCCCCCTCGCTCGGAGCCTGGTGTTAGAGAGTTCCGATATATGCGGCCTCCTTCCTTCTCCGGTGCTGAAGGACCTCTAGCAGCAGAAGAATTCCTGAAGGTTACCGAGACTATCCTTACGGTGACCCGCATTGCCCCTGCAGAGTGGGTGGACCTTATGGACGTCCAGCTCACTGATACAGCTAGAATCTGGTGGGCTGCTGAGAAGACACACCTAGAGAGGCCGATTCTGTGGGAGACATTCACGGATCGCTTCAATATGAAGTATTTCCCTCAGTCAGCCCGAGATGAGCTCCTGCGTAGATTTGTCGAGCTTAAGCAGGGGAGTCGATCAGTCGACGAGTACGAGGCCGAGTTCTCTTCTTTGAGTCGATTTGCTCCTCACTTAGTTACAGACCCTGCGATTAGGAGGCATCAGTTCCAGAAGGGCCTAGACAAGTACATTAGGATGGCTCTGGCAGGTAGAGCTTTGGCGACCCATGATGCGGTGCTGGATGCAGCACGGGAGATTGAGAGCGTGCATAAGGAGCCTGAAGACTCCCACGTGATTCAGAGCAGGACACCAGCAGCTCCGGCCCGGAATGTTGAGCGTCCCCCTCCGAGACAGCAGCAGCAGGGTCCACAGAGGCAGCAGCACTCTCAGCGTCAGCCATTCCCTCAGAGTCACCCTTATCAGCGCCCGGGAGTGCAGACTCGCGGCCAACCTTCGGTGAGGTGTTCCTATTGCAGCTACCCTGGTCATACTCTGCAGGATTGCCCCAGGCGTCTTCACCTATGCTTTAGCTGTGGGTCCCCCGATCATATCAGTCGAGACTGTCCTCAGAAACAGCAGGCCCGGTTGCCCACACCTCCAGTTCGAACAACTCTTCCAGCTCCGCCTCGACCAGCCCCGGCAGCACAGCCTCAGCACAGATCCTATCCTCGAGCAGGGCCTCTTCCTCCACAGCAGCAGCGTTATCAGGAAGCGCACCGGCAGCAACCTCAGCGACAGACGTTCATGATGTCAGCCATAGAAGCTGAGGCGAACGATCGAGTTATCACTGGTAAGAATTGTTTATCTTAGTCTTAATTGCATATGAATTTTCTTATTACATAATGATACTATGAAAGGATTGTTTAAGAATACTGAGTTAGTTATGTTTACATCCTCCTATAATAGGCAAGGTCCTTGTTTCTTCCGTTCCTGCTTTATCACTCTTCGATTCTGGAGCCTCCCATTGTTTCTTGTCTCGTCGCTTTGCGAATACCCACTCTCTTCCTATAGCTCCTTTGACTACGGGCTGGAATATTAACACTGGCAGTGGTGTCTTAGTAGCATCCAGTGGTTATGAAGCATGCCCTGTAGTCATCTGCGGGAGGGAACTCTTCGCAGATTTTCTGGTGATAGATTTGCCGAGCTTTGATGCAGTTTTTGGGATGGATTGGTTGGGGTCGTTCTTTGCCACCATTGATTGTCGTCGTCGGAGCGTAGTATTCGAGATACCGGATCATCCGAGATTTGAGTTCACTAGTGGTAGCACATCGGCCGGACCTGTGGAGTTCAGAGCTAGACCGAAGAAGGCGACGTTAGCTGCGATGCAAGTGGAATCCGAGAAGCCAATTGTAGTTCGGGAATTTGAAGATGTGTTTCCCGACGACATTTATGGGTTTCCACCAGATCGAGCAGTTGACTATTATATAGAATTGAAGCCTGGAACTGCTCTGATTTCCAAGTCGCCTTATCGTATGCCTCCGGCAGAATTAGCCGAGCTTCGGACTCAGTTGGATGATCTTTTGCAGAGAGGCTTGATACGACCTAGTGTATCGGCCTGGGGAGCACCTGTGTTGCTTGTGGGTAAGAAGGATGGATCCAAGCGGATGTGCATCGACTATCGGGAGTTGAATGCTGTGACAGTGAAGAATAAGTATCCACTTCCCCGTATTGATGATATCTTCGACCAATTAGGAGGATCGAGAGTATTTTCTAAGCTGGATCTGCGGAGTGGATATCACCAGGTGAAGGTCAAGGACTCTGATGTTCCCAAGACTGCATTTCGGACGAGATATGGACATTATGAGTTCTTAGTGATGCCGTTTGGTGTGACTAATGCGCCAGCGACATTCATGAACCTGATGAATCTGGTATTCTATGATGTGCTGGACAAGTTTGTAGAAGTCTTTATTGATGACATAGTTGTATGTTACCATTAGATTTCAGTTGCATGTATCATTATCTTTTTGTTATTATTATTATTATCATAGCATGGGTCATTAGACCGTTTTATTTGTTCATGTGAGATATTGCCGTGCGCTATGCACCTGACGTACACCTGTTTTCTCTGGTGTGCGTCAGACTTAGGAGACGAACAGGTTCAGTTCGATGATGCCGCCGAACCAGTGTATGCTCAGCCGGAATGTCCTTCTGATGGAGTGGAAGAACAAACTGAAGCCTAGACGCATTTTCTTTTCTGTAGTAGCTAATAGAGCACTCTTGCAGTATTTTCTTTAGTTTGGTGACAGATTTGGTTATTTTGTTAGTATTTCCTTTTATGGACTATGTATTTCTTATTTCCTAGTTGAACTGTTGTTGTAGTAAGGGTATGTTGAACCCATATTTTATGTCTGGGATGATCTGTTGATGATATGTTTAATTCTTATTCTGGATTGTCTTTATATTCTTGCTATTGTGATCGGGGACCTGTGATTGAGATTTATGTATTTGACGCTTAGCGTATTGGATTGAGAAGAAAAGAAAAAAAAATGATGATAATATTTCTTCTCAATCGAATACGTCGCGGACTTGTTCACGTTCTGATTTCCCAGTATTTTGGGAAGCGGGGCGTGACAAAGTCACTTATTTTTGCAAGTGTGAAAGTTGATCCTGTTGGATTTAATCTAATAAATCTATTTGTGGGCACATATGATTAATCAATGTGTATTGCTATCTTTCAGGATAACTCACTAAAGTGATCAATTAAGTTGGGTTAATTTGGTATTTAAATATAATCATGGGGTTATATATGCAGATATCAGGTTGTAATTGTGATTTATTGAGGGGCTAAATTACAAAAGTACAACATCTATAAATAAGGGGTTATGGTCCCTAACCTAGGGTTACATTTCTCTAATTCTCTACACCCCCATCTAGCTAGAGAAATTCGGATTTAGAGAAACCCTAAGGTTAGAAGATCAAAACCCATCTCAAGATCAAGCAATGGATTCAGGTATAAGCTTCCGCTCTTTATGATTCTTGTTAATCTCTTTGAATTAATCATGGTTATATGGTTTTAGATCTCAAGTTTTATGATGTAGATCTAACAAGTTCATTATTAATAGGCACATTCCCAACTGCCCAAAGGTATGCATATTTGAGCACCCTAGAATACTTAAAACTTAATCTATTTTCCTCTATTTTCAGTTTGTTATTGACTTGACCGTCAGAAGGATCACCGGAGAACCCAACTCCGAATCCTCTAACATGTTGCATGTGTGCAGAATTATCTTTTTTGCTCGACAATGAGCCATCAAAAGAGAATAAGGAACCATAAGCTCTCCATGATTTGCTCTAAATCCCACCATTTAACTTTTGACATCAACAATACGCTAACACAGATTAAAATTTAGGTTAGTTTTAGAAAACACCCATGAACTTTTGGGGCTTTGCACTAAACTACTATGAACTTTGTAAATTAGACTAGACATCATGAACTTTGAGGTGTGTGCTGTGACAGAAAACGCTCCAAAACTTTCAGTTTTCCCCAACGGATCCCCAAAACCATGTTAGTAGCCATTGTAAAAAAGTTAAAAATACCATTTTACCATTTTTGAAATCAATCTTCAGACAAAATTACTTTCTAGTTAGTGTTACTTATGTTGGACAAATTTTCAAAACCAACCTATTTGGATTTTTATTCCCAAAAAACGACCCCATTCAGTTTTATTTGCAAAAACCGACCTGGTTTCAGCCTCAGCGCTGAAACCAGGTCGGTTTTTGAAAAAAACTCTCCGAAACTTCACGGGAGTTGAACTCCCGTGAAGTTTTTTGAACTATGAAACTTCACGGGAGTTCAACTCCCGTGAAGTTTCGGAGAGTTTTTTTTCAAAAACCGACCTGGTTTCAGCGCTGAGGCTGAAACCAGGTCGGTTTTTGCAAATAAAACTGAATGGGGTCGTTTTTTGGGAATAAAAATCCAAATAGGTTGGTTTTGAAAATTTGTCC